CTTTTATACTATACTAGAGTGCATTGCAGAATAAGTATTATTCTCATTATTTTCAAGAGACACCTTGAAGCAACAGAAAAATAAGTCATTTCCAGTCAGTTTCCCTAATAATGCTTGCAGCTATTCCGTAGGACGGCATGGAAGACACAAGATAGACTAGGTATTCTTAATAGCACTTGCAACTCAGTTAACATCAATATGTTCAGTTTTAGCTATCTGAAATGGGGATCATGATATAAAAAAACATTTCCTTCCTTCCCCATCAAACTGATTATAGAACTAACATTTCTTGTTCTTTTTATCATATTGAATAGACTTGGGAACATTATTTTCACAAATCTTTATAGGTAGTATTATTCCAAGCTGACCAGACGATATAAAGAACCAGAAAATGCCCACAGAATGACCAGATCGTACAGGGAAGAAAGTTCTATTTTCTTTGCTACCTAGTGTCACTGCCTCAGGGGAGATTGAAGTCTCAACCATTTAGTGCAGCACTATCTGTTCAATCACAATGTTCTAAGACAAGAATCTCTGAAAACGCCTTCTTTCAGTTCCCATTCCTCATGTGCCTCCAAGGTTCCTTCCTAAGACTGCAGCTATCAGCTATTTGTAAGAAGCAAATCTTCTTTTGCACAAAGGCATTGTAACAGTTGATTAAAATTGCAATTGTGGGAATATGTTCAAAGGTTTTCAGTTACAAGAGCACTTACTAACACCCAAAGTTGTGTTTCTTTTAGTCAGCATATATTGTACAAGGGCTTGACACTTAATGAGCAAGGTGTAGAAGGGAAAAGTAGCATTTTCTAGATGCAAGTTTATAATGTCTTTTTTTTTCTGGACATTATGGGTAAGATTTATCTTGGTGATTGATATGTCTACAAGGAGACATTTGTATCCAGACGCCAATGTGTGTGTTCAGTATCTAAGATCCCACTGTAGCCAGTGAAGTCTAGACAGCCATTCAATTCAGTTGACCAGATGGAGATGTCTTCTTTAGGATGGCAGATTTATGCCCAAGGCTCTGTTGACTGTACTGACAAGATCCCCACTGTTAAGAGAGCTTAAACGTCAAGCCAGCATAGAGCTGTTTATATTCGGGCATCTCAATCTGCGAGCTGAATCTGACACTATATATACTTGAACTCTTGTATCTTTCTTTCTTGTACTTGTATCTTTCTGATTGGAAGTATAAAAGAAAATATCAGCCATAAAACCTTAAATTCTGAACAAGCAAGTGAGGAAATCCAAGAAAACACACGATCAGAACAGTATTTGTTCTAACAATTTGAAGGTAGAATCAGCAACACCTTCCATCACTTTGTACACGGACAAACACATGTTCAGACACATGACTGAAAGATCCAGGGCACAGACAGTAAACATGCTCATAATATTCAAAGCCAACTCAAATGGATGAAGTCAGGCAGTGACTTTCAAGTATGAGATTCATCTTTCACAGCAGGCATCTAATCCAAGTAACTAAGATCTCTTTATGGTTACTGAAGAGCTCTGTGGGCATCTACAGCAGGAAATGATTACATTGACCTTGCACAGCAAGTGACTCATCCTTGCAAAGCACCCACTCTGCTGCAAAGAGTGTAATTCAGACAACCAGCTCAGGCTAGATTCCTCTTTTCTACGTGAGGCAGGAGAGAGAAATCTTTAACAGTCATTTATTATAGAGTGGAATCTTCACTGAGTAATGGGCCTTGTCTAATAAGTGGGAAACTTAAAAAGTCTCCCCTAACATGAAAAATGCTCAGTCCCTTCAGCATCTTTGTGGCCCTTTGCCATACTTGCTCCAGTAAGTCCCGTTTTTCTCTTACTGGGGAGCCCAGCAACAGGGACAGTATTCCAGAAAAGGTCTGGAGAGGAGATTGCTACCCTCAAATTGCTGACGATGCTCTTCTAATGATGGCCAGGATGCCCTTGGTCTCCTTTAGCTGAAGACTATACCGGTTGCTCACAATCAACTTTATAATCACCACGACCCCATGCCATTTTCTGCAAAGCTGCTTTCCAGACAGTCAGCCCCCAGTCTCTACTCATGCAAGCAATGGTTCCTAACTGCTGGACTTTGCATTTCCCTTTCTTAAACTTCGTAAGGTCCCTGTTGGCTCATTTCTCCAGATTGTCAATGTCTTTCTGAGTGGCAGCACAACCATGTGGTCTATCAACCACTTTCGCCAAGTTTAGCTGAAAACTTGAGGGTGCCCTCCGTCCCATTGTTCAGGTCATTAATGAAGATCTTAACATTAATGAAGATCTTAATTATCAATACAATACTAGTGACCGACCTTCACCTAGACTTTGTGATGCTGATCATCATCCCTTCAGCCCAGCCGTCAAACCTTTCTTCACTCCCAATGATAAACCACTTGGATACCCCACAGAAATTCTTCCTTATAGAAATAACAGTGTTTTGACCTAAAATCAGCCCAATTACAGTATGGACTTTTTAAAAAGGTATAGATCATCTGGAACGGCCAGCAACTGATGAAAGACTTGGGAGTTCATACAGACAGCATGCACAGGGACAGAAATTACTGCATGGCGACATGACAGGTGAGATTTTTATAAATTTTGCTGATGAATTATTAAAAAGCAGGATAGCTCTGATTCTGCCAGGATGTTTGAGAGCGGTATACGAAGAGGAAGAAATTCAGCAATTAAGGAAACATGCAGGGATGGGATCTTCCTCCTCCTTTCTGTCCCAGCAGAGCAAATATTAAGTACCAGGAAGGGCTGCTGGGCTTGGCTCCTCCAGCTCACTCCCGTGCTCAGCACAGCCTGGCCTGAGCGGGCACCAGCCTCCAGTGGTTACAGCTGCATCCACAGCCCAACCCCTACAGCCTGAGCGCACAGGAGCACTGCTCCCTCCAGGCTGCAGTATCGGAGAGGAGTGCGGAAACTGCCTGCAAGTGTCACAGCAAAACCTTAAAGGAGAGCAACGAAAAGGAAGTCGATCTGTCACTTGGGTGCATTAGTGTCTTATGCTGGTCTATTTCTTTTTACATTTGAAACTATTCCAAGGCTATCATTCTAAGAATCAAGGGCTGATGAGCTGTAGCCTCACAATCATTTAAAATCAGTTATCTATATTTGTCTTCTGAGGCTCTATAAAATGTTTAAAAATGTGTTAAAAAACATTTCAGGAATAATTTACCAGTAATTAAGGCGAGGGAACCTCACAGAAGAAAACTATAACTAATACAGAGCTAATCCAAAAATAGTGCAACTCAATCAAAATCAAATCACTACATGAAGAAAAAAAGGTACCGGAATTAGAACTTCTGCTAGCTTAGGAAAACAAATGCAAAAATAGGAGGAAAGTAAAGATTACAGGTTCCTTAGTTTTTGCATTCTTCTGGAATTTAATGGAATCTAAAGACTCCATTAAAACTGAAGTCAACAAAGCAGATGGTGGATGATGTACTAGCCTAATACTTTTTCTTAGTGGCCTTTTCTCTTTTTTTTTCCTCATGGCAAAAGAGATAAAATATTAACATCACCTATTTGTTGGTGTTGTGACTTTGTCTCTCTGAAGTGATCAGTCTTGGTCTTCAGGAATGTCATGTTTTCCCTTGGTGGCTTTTTGACCCAGCTGGTTTCTTAGCCTCACTCTTACATCAAGTTTAATTGCTTCTGTTCAGCAGTGTCCCCTGAGACTTCTCAAAAAGGTCAGATGTAAGACATATCTCCTCATCAAGAAGATCATTCATGACATCTCTGAAGGACTTCATATTCATTTCATAAAATAATGTTTTAGCCAGGAATTTTAATAATAGCTGATATTCGGGTATCATAAGACTTGCATGTTTGAGAAAGGTAACCTGCTTTGTTGGGATAAAAATATGGCAGAAAATTTCATTCTAAATCCTAGCTCAATGAAAATTCAGCATTCTCCAGTCTTCAGTTTATCAACAAATGATGACATCCCTCTTACAGTAAAATAATTTAGAAATAATTTAGCTGTTAGCTATCAAATTTTAACAGCTGATCTAGATACAGGTTACAGTGACTTATCAGGGTTTCATCTTGACAGGAATTTAAGCATGGATACAAGAACTGTATTCTCCTAAACTTATCAAAACTGCATGCTGTTCTGCACGGGATAAATAATTTGCTGGGGCAGTTTTCAAATCCCATTATCGCTTAGAATCTAGTTAACATATTACTCTATCTTAATATTATCACTTTATTCTCACTATATTGTTCCCACTTTTCATGTAACCTGACTTTTCAGGTCACAATGTTAAACGAGGCATAGTTCCATACATCCCAACAGAAACTCGCTTACTTCCTCCCTTACTTCCTCTCCTTACCATATAATCTGGGTAAAAACCTCCAGTATAAACCTACTAGTCACTTTCCTCACCTACTTGAACTATCCCATTTCAAAAATTGCAGCTACTTAAGTCTCTCCAGGTTGTCCTGAAATCAGTAATTTTACCTGTGCCATACTCTGCTTTCCCCCATGGTGCTGGTGCCACCAGGCATACAGCTGTTTGGGAAGCACACTGTCTGGTAATCCAGCAGGGAAGAAGCTAGCTTGCTTCTTTTATTTATTTTCTCTTGTTTTTTCATTTGTTGAAGAATGTTGAAGAATTAGTTTCATGAAGAATGAAACTAATACATAAGAAAAATAACGCACAGCTGTGTGCCACTCAGTATACCTTAGTGATGTATGGCATAAATATTGCCTATTGCAAACAGAAATGTAGCTCTATTTTGAAATTTCACCTTCCCAACCTTACCTTCCACATAGTATAAGCACTACCACAAGCAAATCTGGCCACAGAGAAATGAACCAACAGAGATGAGGGAGAGCTAGGATGATGCCCTATGTACTGTAAACACAAGTGACAAAAGGAGCAAGACAGTGACCAGAAGTTAAATTTCATCACTGATGAAAATGCATGTGGGTTTTCACCACGTTTAAAGAGAGCATTCACCAGAATCAGGACAGAAAACATAACGAAATAACAGCATCCACTAACAATAAAAAGCTGCATACTGTTACTCAGCAGAATGTGCATCTTATGCAATATTTCTTCTTTCTCCGCAGAGACCAGTTCAGTTACCATTCACTCTTCTGGTTCTTGAGACCCCTCCAAAAGCTGAGCAGTAATTTTGTTTACCTTCCACTGGATGACTTTAAGCCTGAAATGGTGTACACTTTGTCATTTTTCTGACCTTTTCCACTGCCCTAAGAGCAGTGGAAAAGGTCAGAAAATGGCTTTGTGCTATCCAGCAGTATATGGGCCTGGCTGCAAGAATTAGTTTTGACAGGTTTTTAATTCATTATCTTATATTTCTCCAGATAAACTGCAACTGATGTAGGCTTACTTACTGACATCCAAGCTCCTCGATGTTTCCAGAGAGCTATCCATTGTACAAAGTAATGCTAGTCTTGACTAGCTATTCCAGGAGGTATACTCCAAAGATTAAATGGATTTCATTACCTTTCATGCATGGTGGTATTAGTTCCTACATATTGCTTCATACTTGCCAGCAACACATGACACTGACAGCAGTGAATTCCATGGGGAGGAAAAAAAAAAAGTGCTGAAAAAAATGATCTTTGGGAATAAACTATAGAACAGAGAGTCAGAGAGCTATTGTACACTCACATTTGTAGGTGCTAATGGTTCAAGCAGTTCCCAGTCCATCCCTGAATACACAAATGATTAAAAATAATAACAATAATATTTCCGTTTCCATTGCCTGAATGGAGTAGGGATGTCCCCTCAAAATTTCCTACTTTTCTCTCCTAAAGCTCTGATAGTATGTACTTTTCTTGTCAGTATATATTTTAATAAAAAAAACAATAGAAGTATAATTATATTATTTTAAAACATTAAACCGCTAACACTCAAAAGTTGTTTTTTTGGCTACAAAAAAAAACATTTCTTATTGATTTTTTTGTATCCTATAAGTATACCTTTTTTACTTTAATATAAAAAAGAGTTTAGTTGGTTTGTATTAAATTTTATACTAATCATCATATCATAGTCTTAAAAAAAACCATGATCATACACACCCTCCATATATGTGTGTGTATATATTTTTAAATACATATATATATATAAAAATGTGTGCGATAGATGTGTGACCATATTTTGCTTTCTTGCTCACCTGTTTTATGACAAGAGGAAGATCCAGATTGTCCCCCAAACTTAAGGACTATTACAATACTGATGCACAGTTACAAAATGGAGGTTACCAAGCCAACAGTGATTTTGCCCGGCCATTCCTCATGTCTTCAGATGTTTGCTATTTTTCCCTTGACTTTCTACTATGATATTACATTTCATGGGAAATTAAAAACAGGCCAAGCACGGGTAAGAGTTTTTATTTCAGTCAAACCTGATGTGATTTTTTCAAGGGGCAGTTTTAAGAGGAAGGAGGGTTCAGGGTAAAGAGAAGAGATAAATAATATGAGAGTTTTCATTTGGAGTGATTTAAAAGACTACCTGCAAAACATCAAGTTGTTACGTCTTTTCTAAAAGACTCTTTCAAATGCTATCTTTCAAACCTTATTGATTAAAAATCTTTAAAATGTTATCCAGTAGGCCTGCTAATAGGTAAGTGATTGTAGAGGAAAATAAGGATTATCCCACAAACTTGCAGCACTGAAGTAGGTACAGTTGTAATGCCCAGCTGAAGGCCCTATTGCCATGCAAAATTCTGAAATAGTAAACCAAGATACTTGACCACAGGAATAATAAACAGTCACACAATCACAGCATCTACATGTTCATTTTAAGTTTGGGTTGATTTTAGTCCAGCTTTAACATCTCCCAAGCAAGAGAAGCCATTTATTCTTTTTTTCACCTCTTGACATGCTCACTGTTTAGAGGTACTGAATAGGTAGAGAGAAAAGATTCACATTCATGTAAGAGGATATAGCAAAAAGTATTTCAGGATTTCACCAGTCCAGAGGGAAAAACAGTATTTTGAGAACTGAGAAAGGAGGGAAAGCGAAACACAATCGAACTGCCAGCATCTGTATTTTTCTATAGGCCTAAGAGATGGTGCACCAACAATTAACTTGTATTACAACAAGTTAATAATGTTTTGGGAGAGCTAGACGTTATGTGAGCTAAACCTCACTTTCCACTGAGATGCCTGAGCGGAGAGAGAAGTCAGTTCACATTTCATTTGCAGTTGTGCAAGAGAGAAACAGAGAGAGGCAACTTAGCTCCACTAATTCCCCAGAATTTATGACCTCTCTAATTGACTCTGAAAGAGTAGAGTGAGGCTGTGTGGCATGTTTATCATTAAAACAGACTAATACAACACAAAATATAAGTCTACATGCTTAAAAAAGTTATAATTTTTGAACTAAAAAACCTGATGAACAAACTTCACGGATTCGTCCACACCTCCTCACAGCTTCAGTAAATTGGGAAGCCGTCACTTTTCAGTACAATTTATGCATTTTTCAGCACTGTGTACAGTCCAGCACTACTCTATCCTTCCCTGTGAATAAAATGTACCCCTACTTTCACACAGCAAGAGGATACAACATAAACTGTTGAATGTGCACAAAGATTTGAATGAAAAGATGTACGAGAAAACAAATTATTAATGTCTTCCAGTTAAAGCAAGTATGCTTACTTTTGATTCCTTCATCTTATTGACTAGAATTATTATACAAAATGGATCTCTAAATAAAGTCTATTAAAAAGAATATTCCCTGTAAAGCATTTTAAATAAAAAGGAGGAATAATCAGCTACTGAGTTAAACTATCTATCTTCCCTGAACCTAATGAATTCCACGTTTTCAGTTGAACTAACTTCATTTTTTATAGTCGTTCAAACATGTACTTACCTTTATGGTAACATTTCCTTTAGTTATTTTTCTCATATTGAAGCCCACAGTAGGAATCATATCTTCTGTGAATTGCCCTGACTAGAATACAAAAAAAAAAACCTATTATAAATAATTGATAGAGAGCAGATAAGTTTCACATTTGCAATCTATTTTATTTCACAATTGAGGGGAAAAAGTAACAGCAACAAAACTTTCTACGAGAGCATTAGCCAACACTTCAATTAATGCATTGTCATGGTGAGGAAGGCAGTTCATTTCAGCTCATTTAAATAATCTTTTATTTTCCTCACTGTCAAAGATCACCTGAGAAATCACAAGACTTTGGATAATTTTTCATCTGATGTTCGAGCTGACCAGAAAGCTGCTTTGTCACAACGCAATAAAATGGACAATATTACGACTTTTCCCTATAGTTTCTCAACACTGCTACCAGTGGTTTAGCTCCAAATGTAAACTAATGGTGAAAGAACACTCAATCTAGAAAGTACTAAATGCAATCCCTTTTGGTCTGAATAGATTGCAGTAGAAAACTCCCACTGCTAAAACTGAGATTAGGATGGAAAATGTAGTAAAATTAAAAGTACGCACTGGATGAAAAATAAGATAGATGGAAAATATTTTTCCAGTAAGATGGAAGAATATAAGGAACTCAACACACTCTAAACTCAAAGTGCCAGATATGTCTTCTATCACTAAAAGAAATATTTCTATGAAAGCAACTTATTATCATGACAAACAGGTATCTTACAAAAAACCGCCTACTACAGAAGATGGCTTTTAAGGAGAATGCAGATGCTCAGTACTAAGCAGATTACTTGTTACTCATTCTTTCCTTCTTCCTTTTCAAAATCTGTCATTAATAAGTTATTTTATCTCACTAGGAGGAGCACACCAAGATATGTAGGTCACTTAACATTAATGTCTACACTGTGGATGAAGAACTCTCTGTAAGGCACACAGTAGTTCTGGTTTTCCAGAAGTTCTGGTTACCTAGGAAGGAGGAAAGCAGGATATACCATGGGTCATCAGGACTTTTCTACCCATACTCTCATCATCCACCTTAATCATCACCCTCACCGTGTCCTGGAATGTGTTTTTTTTTTCTTTTTTTTTTTTTCTTTTACTTTTAGGGTGGGTTTTTTTAAGAAAGCCTGGATATATAGACAAGGAGGAAAGCAGGCACGCTCCAAAAGGACTCTCCCACCTGACAAGTGGGAGCTTCGAGGCCCATCACAGCAGCTGTGCCTCTCACACTGCAGGACCAGCCATCACCTATGCCTACTGGATTTGCCATAAACTCCTTCTTCACTGTTTGTGGCGGAATGAAAACACTTCACATTTCTAGTTTGCATTCACCAACTAAGATTGACTAGTTTTAATCTAGGACTTCAAAAGCTAACTTTTCATGGTTATTTGTTCCTCTCTCAAGATTTAGGGTTTTGGAATTAGATCCTTCAGGCAAGAAACAACTTCCATCCATTACTTATTCGATCTTACCTACGGGAATAAATTCTGTACTGTGTATCTTCCCCATCTTTTGTTTCTGAAAGTCTCTCTTTTCTCTTTCCTTGCTTCAGTGACTTGTCAACAGCAATAGGGAAAAACAGTGAAGACAAATGTACTTGTAGTCTCATAGAGATACATGTACCCAGCAGAGACAGAATTTTTGATGGGATAGAGTAAGACAAAGCCACTCAGTAATAATCTGCTGTAGCAAAAAAAACTGTCCTAATTTTCCAAAATACATAGTGCATATATTTGCAAAAGATAGACATTCACACAGAGAAACCTTGAGGAGGTAATATGATTATTCGTGAACAGGATGCTCTGGTATTGGGGTTAGAATACAAAGAATTAACATCTCCTTTATTGATCCTTAGTCCTTTCTTCTAAAAAAGTGGTTGAACAGAGTCAGCTACAAACTACTGTGTTTACAGTTCTTTTACCTTCCCATACAATGAGGAAAAGAGGGTAATGTGTGACATCTTTTGACCATATTTCTCCAAAAACTCTGATTATTGCATTTTGCTTCTAGTGTTCTATGTTCAATAAAGTAAAAGGAAAAAATAAATTGCTTGCTAAAGAAATTTTACATGACAGATTTCTGACAGTACTTTTTGTGAATATTCAAGGTACTGTTAAACATTTTTTGCTGTATCTCAGTAAAAATAAAAATAAAATAAAAAGAGAGAGATTATACATCATCCTGTCAGAGATAAAAATAACTTATGCTAAGTTTATAATATCATTCTTAAATGTTGGTGAATGCTGCACTGACAATGAACACTGTTATTACCCGTAACTATATCAAAAACAACGGGCCAGATTCTACTTCATTACATCACTGCACATCCAAAGCAGACAGCAGTGAAATTACCAGTCCTAGTGGAAACCTTGGGTAACAGCTGCTTCTGCACTGGTAAGAGAGGACCAAACACGCCTCTGACTTTTCAAGGAGGAGACTGTCTCAAAGTATGTTTATGTAGTGTTAGCATATTAGGACCTCTGAATGTTACTGCCATATGAACATATAACTTCTTATCATTTTTTTATGACCTGTTGTATGACCCATCATTTTGTGATGGTTGCTTCCATCATTCCCTAGGGATCATCATTCCCTAGCTATACATACAAAACACACACACACAGTCCCCAGTCTTATTTGCCATCCCCGTTGTCAACTGCATTCAGGAATAAGTTGTTATTTATTGCCTTATCCTAAGCTACTTCCAAACTCTTACCACCTTTCTTTGGAGATTATGACAGCAAGTCATCTGCAGACTGGGAAATGAAAGTTTTGTAGCTACAAAATTACTTTTTGTGACAATCCTTAAGTCAAAAAAAATGGATGCCTTTCAGAATATTTTTAAATTATACATTTGTTGACAAGAATCAAACCTGCACTAACAACAGTGCTGTTTCATCCATGGTGATCTTAGCATGAGAGCGAGAGAAACACAAGATGTCACCCCACAGGTTGTGGTATGTAAGTTAGAGGACAAATATTTACCTACTTAAAGTGTAATGCCACATACTACTAAGACAGCACTGAGTCCTCTGAACTGCTGCATCCTTATTTGTTCCATTTATGAGATCAATATAAGAAGCGAAGTAATCTATTAGGCTTTTTTTTTGCTCCTTCCTCAGCAGAGCATTGGCTTGGGAGATGAACACTTGAACATTAGGAGTGCTGAGGCCTATGTCACCAAGATCACTTGAGTGCCTAACAAACTTAAGTCAGTTACCATTATTTTCTCTTTAGTGATTGCCGTCACCTCCCAAAATATACTTACATTGCTAGCTGCACTTTCCCTTCCTCATCCTTTTTCTCCTTCTTTTTGTCTCTCTTTCCGCTTCCTCACTCACACTAATCCATACTCCTGTTTTCTCCCTTAATCCACAATTGTGTATTACACATGCAAGAATACAACGACCACGCTAAATGTGCCCATCGCTGGATCAATCACTTTGACCACAGGCTGCACCCCACCCAATTTGTGTTTGATTTCTTCATCTGCCAACGCTTCGTGGTAAGGACTGGCTCTTCAGGAATGTCTAGAAGCGCCTATCTCATCGTAGGCGAAGTTGCCCTACAGCTAACGGCAGTGACCACCTCGGGACTGCACTGTGAAGCTCCATGATGAGTAGCTCGCATCTTGTTTGCATCTCTCAAGGGTGGGGAAGCAAACCCTCAGGATGGATCTACATGAGGAAAACACCATGGCCATTGTCAACGTCAGGGAGGAAGGACGTCCGGAGGCCGCCATCACAGCAGGACGGGAAAAGCAGAATATCAAGGAATTAGGGGAGACGTTAATATCGACACCGTGAAGCTCCATGATGAGTAGCTCGCATCTTGTTTGCATCTCTCAAGGGTGGGGAAGCAAACCCTCAGGATGGATCTACATGAGGAAAACACCATGGCCATTGTCAACGTCAGGGAGGAAGGACGTCCGGAGGCCGCCATCACAGCAGGACGGGAAAAGCAGAATATCAAGGAATTAGGGGAGACGTTAATATCGACACCACTCACGAAAGGACGCAGTGAAAGGGAAGCCACGGCCTTGGGGGAAAC